TTCTTACATGTGCTGAAGAAAATAAATCTGAAGATCAACATTTTCTTGTTTAAAAGTATCTTCTTTCTCTGTAAAATTACTTCCTAATCTTTTTCCTCTATAATACCTTCTTTTGACAATTCATTTATTGAAATGGGCTATGTACCCATAGTAATTGTCCACTATGTATCAGGCACAGTGTAATGTTAAGGATAGTGATGGACAACAGTTTTAGTCCTTGCAGCCAAATAAACAAACAAATGTAAACACTTCCATATGATGTTAAGTGCTAATATGGAAGTACATGCAAGGCTCAGATAAAAAATAATCCTTAGAAGGACCAATTTTAATTAAGTCTTCTTTGAGGAAGTGGCATTTATGCTGAGGCCTACAGAAAGAAGGACAGAGGGAAATCATCCCATAGAGGAAGAACAGCAAATTTAAAAGTTCTAAGATGATAATAGACCTTGTATGTCAGAGGCTCTTAGAAAAGATGGGTGGGGCTGACACTCTGAGAAATGGGGACAGTGGTTCAGTTCTGAGAGAGTATCATGCTGGGATGGATAAAGAAATTAGGTTTTCTTCTGAGTTGAAAGGGAAGCCACAGAGGAGTTTTGTGCAAAAAAGCAACATTATTTAATGTACCCCCTACAGAGAACCCTTTTGCTAACATTTGGAGAAGAGACAGAAGGGAGTGAGAATCACTGAAAGACCAGTCAGTAGTCTATTGCTTTAGTCCAGAAAAGAGATGATGGTGGTCTGACTAAGGGGATGGTTTTGCAAATGGAGGAAGCAGATGACTCTGAGATAAAACTTAGGCATGTAACTAACTGGAAATGATAATGGATTGAATAGAGAGCAAAGGGAGAGAAAAGAATTGAAGATGACTCGTTAGTTCCTGAATATAGCACTCTTGAGAAGGCTTACATGGAAAATTTAGGAATAGGGGATATTTCTGGGGACAGGTAGGAACAGTAGGAAAATAAAACAGATTAGGATAAAATTTTGTTTTCATAAAATTTTAAGCATATATGAAAAAATCAAGGTCAGATAGCATGCAATAATAAAAGCAAAAGAGAATTCTATACTGGAAATATAAATTGGAGAATAACCAACATAAATTTGCTACTTAAGTTCATAGAAGTGAATGAGGTAATCTAAACCAGAAAAGGTTTTAGGATGGAGCACTGAGGGCCTCCAGGCTTTAGAGGTCAAATAGAAGAAGCTAAGTCATTAAAGAAATTTAAGACAGAATAGCCCTAAAGGTAAAGGGAAAAAAAGCAGAGGATGTTGTCATGGAAGCCAAGATAGAAGCTTAGAAAAAAGAAGATGTGGTCAAGTTTACTGAATGCAGGTCAAGTAAAATAAAGATGAATAATTTATATAGTCGATTTAGCGCTGTCATTACATTGGTGGCCTTGACAAAAGTAGTTTCGGTGAAGTGGGAGAGAGTAAAACCAGATTACAGTGGGTCAAGGAGTAATGGAAACAGCATGGTTTCAGGAAACTCTACCATAATCCAATGCATGAAGTCCAAAAATTTCAATTGTGTAAAATGCAGAGTGCTGTTATTTCATGGTTAATGAAATGACCTGTGCAACTATTGTGCAGGTGGTTCCAAGGGTCCAGCTATGTGATCCACATTTGTCCAAGTCCTGGCTATAATAGACTAGTGGCAGTTGCTTACTCTTGTTCAAATAAAGACAGTGATGATTCTGGATCTCATGCCTGTCTGGGGCTCCCAGCATATCTGTAGTGATTGTGATGTCTCCTGATAACACACTGATTGAAACTGGGCTGAAGATCACTGGGGATTGTTGTCCATTCTCCACCATCTTACACCAACTCCTATGATTTCCCTGCATGGTCGCCCCTCCCATTCTCTATTTCAAAGTAAAGAACTTTAGCCCATCCCTTAATGTGATTGCTAGTTGACCAGAGAGAAAAATTAAATTGCTAATTACTTTATATAGAAATCTTGGTTTTTGTAAGTTTTTAATTGTATATAAAAATGTTTTGCTACAAAGAGGAATAGCTAGAGTAGACTCAAGCTAAGGTTTTCATTTGTTTCTTTGCTTTTCTTTTGTGTTTCAAGATGGAGCTAGTGCAGCATGAGAAATGAAGATGGAAATGATCCAGTAGATGGTCCTTCTGTAGGAACACAAGGAGAATATGGCAGTGATGCGAGAAACCAAAGCAAGGGCTTAGATTCATGTAACAGGAAGATATCCTAGTTACTAGAAGCAAAGACAAGATTTTGTTTTCAGAAAAAAAGCAGAAGTTCAGAGGCAACAAATCAGAGCAAAAGGTCTGGCCTGATATTAAACTTTTGGGAATACCATTCACGATTCCAGGACAGGAGGCAACTTAAGAGACCTGTACCTTGGGACAGGATTAATTCAATAGCTGGTGATTCAACTGATTATTGAAATGGTGAGTACCAGAGGGTCACTGGGGCAAGGTTATAATGAGTGCCATTAGATATAAATCATAATTCAATGTCTTACTTATTAATCTGTCCTGAGTACCAGCAATATGTCTCCTACCTACTTAATGAGATGTTCCTCCATCACATCATGTCCAACAATTTGAAATTTAAATAATCATCTCCTAATTGACAAAGAAGGAAAATATTTTCCTGTTTCTATCTTAGTCATAAAAGCTCAAAACATCACTTAAAATTATCTGTCAACTCTACTTTCTTTTCAGTTTTCAAACACTTGCTAAGTTCTTTCATATTACATTTCATAACAAAATTTTCATTTTCCACTCCTCCTTTTCCATTTCCATAACCAAACATGTACTAAGTTGCAGACTTTCAACTACTGTGGCACAGAGTCTTTTGTATCCCAAGTTCAAATCTTTAGTCAACTATTTACTACATCTGTGATCTTTTATAACTGAAATCTATAAATCCATTTGCTTGCCCTAAAACAGTGATAATAATTGATAAATTTTTTATGTTTTCTAAAGGTAAAATGTCATATGGTTTGTAGAATATTTAATGTAATCTAATACATAAGACACACTCAATAATATTAGTTTCTTCTTCCTTTCACAATTTATTTAGCATATACTAGTGGAATAGGTGGCAAAATCCCCTCTGTATTCTTGTATGCTTCTTTCTTTTCTGAATGACATATCTCTAACATGTCCTTAGTCAAACGTTTAATAGATCCTCCTTGTCAATAAGGCAATTCTTAACTTTAGATACCCCATGATCTCCCACATAAATTCTCAAAACCAGGCATACTTGGATACTCACAGTCCCTTAAAAATATCAGGCTACTTTAGACCTGTGTTCCTCACTGCCTCTCCTGTTAAAAGTGTTTTTCCTAATTCTCTCAGCAATGCCCACCTCTACTGCCTTTCACTCACAAAGCCTTCAGATGTCCCCAAACTTTAATTACCTGTTTCTCTTCCAAGATTAACACTTAATATTTGTACCCCCTCATTTGTCAGTTAATAATATATAGGGAGCTCTTTGTTCAATACCTCCCAACAGTGTTATTTCATTTAATGCTATATAGCTAAGAATGCTGTTTTCCTTTGCTAGACTTCATTCAATACCATGTTTTCTAGAACTAGGCCTGAATAAAACACAGGACAGGAGCACCGTCACTTGGCACACTTCATTTATTTATTTTAAATGCCTGAAGATTATATCTAGAAAATCCCACAAATATCTGGCCACCTCTCTAGATGTAAGGGACCATCAGGACCTTTCTCATACTCCTTGCACCCGTGTCCTTTGACTCTTCCTTTGGGAGTCTTTTTCCCCTTCAAGGAAATGATATTGAGGAGGAAGAGAGGAGAGAAAAAGAAACAGGAGAGGATCCTTCTACTGTCCACACACACATAATTCAAGTAATGAACCATCAAGTATTTTCACACATCTATGCCTAAAAAAAACTATTATCCAATTTTAAGTTCAGCTTTAAAGTCAAAATGATTTTTAAAACCTTTGCTCACTAGAGATTTCATGGAGGGAAAAATTAAGAGAAAGAAAGCAAGATACTTGAAATGTTCTTGAACAGTCTTCACAGGAGATAAGTTAATTTAGGCATTTATTCATTCATCCATACAGTGTGTATTTACTGATCATTATCTGTGTGCTAAAGAAATTTGCTGCAGCCTAGGATCAAAGATGAATAAATACTTTCCATTCATGAATATTGGGAAAAATACACATCATTTAGTTTATCTTATAAATTTGAAATTAAGATAATGACTAGAGCAATGGAAGAGAAGTACACAATGGGAACCTGGGAACTCAGCCTGAATGGGAAAACTTAGCCCTAGTAAGAGTACATAAAGAAGGCTTCCTTTCCTTCTTTTTAATTTATTCAAGTCCTATCAGTTTATTGGCATGTTTTCAGCAGAAGCTCATTCATGGTAATTTGTTTGCTAGTATTAGTTTACTTGTAACCTCATGTTTTGCTTATCCTACTTACTGGGAATCATGTGAGGCCTAAGGTTTGGGTGTATTCTTCCAAGGAAGATCTTCCTTTGCTTCTGTTAACTGCTCTGGAGCATTACAAAGCTAGAAGCATTAAAGCACCCTAAATTAATTTCTTTTTTTTTTGAGATTTTCTGTACTATGAGAGCAGATTTGTTAGTTACTAGTTTTCAAAGAAATATTTAGCCAACTTACCTGCCAAAGTGGAAATGGATCAAGGTCAAGCCAAACAAGTTTGAGTGTCTGTTTTTACTAAATTTATATCCCCTTCTCCCATTTCTCCCATCCTCCCCATTTATGACAAGCTGACAGCTAACATCATTCTCAGTGGCGAAAAGATGAAAGTCTTCTCTCTATGATCAGGAACAAGACAAAGATGCTTACTCTTGCCACTTCTATTCAACATAGTATTAGGAGTCTTAGCCAGAGCAATCTGGCAAGAAAAAGAAATAAAGGCATTCAAATTGGAAAGGAAGAGTAAAACTGTCATATATTTATAGATAACATGATGTTATACATAGGAATTCCTAAAAACTCCATAAAAAATCTATTAGAACTAAGAATATTCTGGTTTCTCTTCAGATCACACAAATCTTTCACCTTTCACTAAAGATTTCTGTGGAGAGGAATAATTCTGAGTTTTTAACTCAGTAATTTTTGAGCCAGGCTAATAAAAAAAATCCTTTAGAACTAATAAATGAATTCAGTAAAGTTACAGGATGCAAAATCAAAACAATTTTCTGTTGGATCTCTATATACTAAAAACAAAGTAACAGAGACATTAAGAAGACAACCCCATTTACAATTACATCAAAAAGAATAAAATAGCTAGGAATAAATTTAACCAAGGAGCTGAAAGACTATTATTGAAAATTGTAAGACATTAATGAAAGAAATTGAAGAAGACGCAAATAAATGCAATGACATTTCATGTTCATGGACTGGAAGACTCAATATTGTTAAAATGTCTGTACTACCCAAAGTAGTCTACAAACTCAGTGCAATCCCTACCAAAATTTCAAAGGAATTTTTCAAAGAAACAGGATTAATAATCCTAAAATTTGTACATAAGCACAAAAAACCCTAAGTAACCAAAGCAATCTTGAGAAGAGAGAACAAAGCTGGAGGCATCATGCTTCCTGGTTTTGAACTATATTACAAAGCTATAGTAATTAAAACAGTATGGTATTGATGTTAAAATAGAATCCTAGATCCGTGCAACAGAATAGAGAGCCCAGAAATAAGTTCACATTTATATGGTCTACTAATTGATGACAAAGGAGTCAAGAATATACAATGGGGAAAGGGCAGTCCTTTTAATAAATGATGCTGGGAAAACTGGGCAGCCATATGCAAAAGTATGAAACCCAACCACTATCTTTCACCATCACAAATGTTAATTCAAAATAGCCTAAATACTTGAGCATAAGACCTGAAACCATAAAACTGCTTGAAATAAATATGTGGTAAATTCCTTCACACAGGTCTTGGTGATGATTTTTTTTATCTGATATCAAAATAAAAGCAACAAAAGCAAAAATAAATAAATGAAACTACATCACACTATAAAGCTTTTGCATAACAAAAGAAATCATCAACAAAATGAAAAGGCAATCTACCAAATGGGAGAAAATATTTTCAAATAATATACCCAATAAAGTATTAAAATCCAAAATATATAAAGAATCATACAACTCAATAGCTAAAACAAACAAACAAACAAACAAAAACCAGTCTGATTAAAATCTGGGCAGAGGATATGAATACACATTGTTCTAAAGAAGACCTAGAGATGACCAACAGGCACACAGAAAGATGTCAACATCATTACTCATAGGGGAAATTCAAATCAAAACCACAATGAGATAAAACCTCACACTTGTCAGAATGGGTATTATCAAAAAGATACAAAATAAAAAGTGTTGGTGAGGATGTAGAAGAAAGGGAACCCTTGTACACTCTTGATGGAAATGTAATTGGTACAGCCACAATGGAAAACACTAAGGAGGTTCCTCAAAAACTTAAAAATGGAACTACTATATGATCCAGAAATTCCACTTTGGGATATTTATCCAAAGAAAACAAAAACACAAACTCAATAAAATATATGCACCCCTATGTTTATTTCATCATTAGTTACTATAGCCAAGATATAGAAACAACCTAGATACACATCAGTGAATGAATCTATAAAGGAATGTTATTCAGCCATAAAAAGAATGAAATCTTGGTCTATCCAATAACATGGATGAACCTCAAGGGCATTATGCTAAGTGCAGTAAGTCACACAAAGACAAATATTATATGATCTCTCTTGTATGTGGAATCTAAACAAACAAGCAAACAAATAAAGAAACAAGCTCACAGATACAGAGAACAGACTGGCAGTTGCCATAGGCAGGGAGCATTTATTATGTTGAGGTACATTCCTTCCACACCCACTTTGTTGAGAGTTTTTATCATAAATAGATGTTGAATTTTGATAAATGCTTTTTCTGCATTTACTGAGATGATCATATGATTCTTATTCTAATTTTGTTATTTTGTTAATTCTAATTTTGTTAATGTGGTATATCACAATGACTAGATTACATTTGTTGAACCATCCTTGCATCCCTGGAATAAATCTCACTTTATCATGTTGTATGATCCTTTTAGTGTGTTACTGAAATTAATATGCTTTTATTTTGTTGAGAATTTTGCATCTATCTCATCAAGAATATTGGCATGTAATTTTATTTTCTTCTGGTGTCCTTGGCTGGTTTTAGTATCAGGGTAATGCTAGCTTCATAAAATGAGCTTAAAAGAATTCACCCCTCTCCTATATTTTCAGAAGAGTTTGAGAATGAATGATATTAATTTTTCTTTGACTGTTTGGTAGAATTCACCAGTGAAGCTATCTGGTCCTGGTATAATGTTTTTTTGGGAGGTTTTTGATTACTGATTCAATCTCCTTACCAGTAATCAGCCTGTTCATATTTTCTATTTCATCATGATTCAGCAGTGGAAGGTTGTATGTTTCTATGTGTTTTCTCCTAGGTTGCCCAATTCATTGGTGTATAATTGTTCATAGTAGTTTTCATGGTCATTTATATTTCTGTGGTAGCAGTTACAACATCACTTTCATTTATGATTTTATTTGAGTTCTCTCTCTTCTTTTCTTGGTGAGTCTGCCTAAAGGCTTGTAACTGTTATCTTTTTGAAAAATGAGATCTTAGCTTTATGATCTTTTTTATTGTCTTTTTAGTCTCTATTTCATTTATTTTTGCTTGAATCTATGGTATTTCTTTGACTAACTTTGGACTTTTTCTTTTTCTAGTCCCTTGAGGTATAAAGTCAGGTATTCATTTGAGATTTTTCTTATTTCTTGAAGCAGGCATTATTACTATGAACTCCCATCTTATAACTGCTTTTTGCTATATCCCACAAACTTTGGTATATTATATTTCCATTTTGGTTTGATTCAAGGTATCCTTTGATTTCTTCTATGGCCCATTGGTTGTTCAGTAGCATGTTATTTAATCTACACATATCTGTGAATTTTCCAGTTTTCTTCATGTAATTAATTTCTACTTTAATACCACTGCGGTTAAAAAGATGCTGGATATCATTCTTAAACTAAGTAGGAATTACCTACGTGAAGAAGTTAAGATTTTCCTAGACAGAAGAAATAGTATGTGCTAGGGCCTATAATAGGGTAAAACATGACTATGCTGGACCAAACGAAAATCAGTAATAGTGATGGGGATGATGGTGAGAACGAGCAAAGGGCAAGAGGAAGCTAGAGAAATCAATGTCTACAAAGAGCATTTCTGGCCACAAAGAGGCGTTCTGTTCTTATCCTATGATTATGGAACCATTTTAAAGTGTGTATGCATTAGGGAACAGTAACACAAATTAATTTTATTTTCAAAAGATCGCTTCACCTTTAAAGTGGCAAACAAGAGAAGAGAATTTGGGTAAACGGTTAGGAGCCTGTTATAATAATTTAAGCAAGAAAATATAGTGATAGGGCAAAAAGGTTAAAGACTGAGATGGAGGTAAGTAGAGGGCTTTGTAATATTTTTGGTGGGTAAATTACTAACAGAAAATATCAAAGAAGACTACTAGGTTTCTGACAATTTGATGGCAGGTGGTAGTTCTCACTGAAAAAGAAACACTGGAAGATGAGTATATGGTGTATATGTTTCATTTTGAACATAACGAGTTTGAGTTGCTTTTGAAATATCTGAGAGAAAATATCAAAAATGCAGTAGGGCATACTAATATTTCTGTAGCACATAATGCATGCAAATATTTTTCTGAGAGTGAAATATAGCAACTCAAATGGATTCATGAAATCTAAAGGCTTTGCTACATATATAAATCAATGAGCAACCTGAATTTAGGTGGTTATTTGGCTAGGATCTGGGATAAATTCTCTAGAAAGAAAAAGCAAAGGCAGACTAGGAATGAGTCTTGATCAACTCCAATGTTCAACGCCTCACAGATGAATATAAACAAACACGGAAATAGAAAAGGAGTTGCCAAAGATGGAGAAGGAAACACAGAATACTGTTGGGTCACAAAATCTAAGAGAAAATCATGTTTCAAGAAGGACAAAGTGACCATCAACACCTAACACTACCAGTACATCAAGTGAAATGAAGATTGAAAAATACCTGGTGATCATAAAGACGTGGCAGCCAATGGTGCTGCAAGTAAGAGCTCTTTCAAGTGGATCATGCACTGGATCCCATCTTTTATTGGGTGGAGGGAAAGGTGAGATACTAGCGAATGTAAGAAAAAGACAGCTCCTTTGAGAAATTTCACTCCAAACTAGAGGGGACAGATAGAGGGGAAGAGAGAAAAAAATACTGTTTGTAAGGATGAGAATGAGTAAACATGCTTTCTTCTTTGAAACAGAAAAGCTTGAATGCTTAAAACAACAGTAAAAATAGTCATATCAACACCACAAACATTGGAAAGCATTATTACAGGTTAAGAGGCTGAGTATGCAGTAGAGAAGCAAAAATTGACAGTACAATTTTTATTGAGAATTGGATGGATTACTCTTACATAGAGGAGTGACAGACAAGGTAGATTTATTTGTTTGGTATCTTGAAAATGAAGAAGTTCTTCTCCAATGAACTATATTTTATTGGTAAAATAGGAATCTGATAAAAGTAAATGGGCAGCTTGAATAGAGTACAGAAGGACTGAAATCGTCTTGGAGGGTGGTAGAATAAGTTGACAGATGAAATACGGTCCAGTTTTTGGGTAGTATTGAACGACCATGTGAGGTTGTAGCACACATTTGCAAAAGAAGTTGTTTGAGTTGTTTGCCTTTTGCCAGAATGAGTGAACAGCTCTTCAAAGGTAAGTATGGAGAAAGTGGATAATTTGTATCTTAGCTATGAATGATTCAAAAAAAAAAGGAAAAAAACAATAAACCCACAAAAACAACAGTAGCTTATGCAACAGAGAAATTTTCTCTCTCTCAACATTCAGTAAGTTTAGTGATAGTCTGTGTATGCTTCACAGTATCCTGATTCATCAACTTTCTCAAAATTACTGCATGAGACAAGAAGGTTTTACACTTCCAACCACTATGTCTACTTTTTAACAAGTTAGAAAAAGAAAAGGACAAGCAAGACATGTACCCTTCCTGTAAAGACTCTTCCTGAAGACACACGCTATAGTC